TTGTTGGGCGGCACCATGTAACCCTCCTGCTCAATATTGATCCGAACAAACATGGTGAGCAAAAATGTACCAAACGTAATTCCATAGTAATCGAGAGTTTGCATTTCACCAGAAAATAACAATGATACTCGTAATATCCGGCAAATGAAATATCAACAATGTCGTTAAGTAAATGATTTTTTTCATGTCATGAATGTGTAATGTGTTAGAAGCTGTTATTCGCGGGGTTTACTCGATGTTTCGAACTACCAGATATTTTGAGTTTTTAACACGAAAAGTCATCAAAAACTTTAGTTTTAATCAAAATGACAAAATAAAGATGTAAGAAAATGATGCCACGAGTGATTTTTCATGATAAAAATATCCTTAATGTTAAAATAAACAGTACCAAAATGTTTCATTAAGATTCCCAATAAATCTTTGGTAAAAACTACAAAATCAAAATTCTTAAAACGCTCATAATATCTTATCTTTTACTTCGTAACACCATAAATTTTGCTTATTTACACAAAAAAAATGTCATTTAACAGTGCCAATGACAACTGCCTTACATTTCATGAATGGGTACTTTATTCTTTTAGGAGAGTGCTAATCACACTTATTTTTACCATCTACACACCCTGTTAATTTTTTGATATTATTCTTTAATTCATTGACTAAAAATTAAAAAGAATATGAGAAGTAAAAATAATTGTTTAAAGGCTAAATAACACTACTCTTTTTTTTTATATAAAAAAATATCAATAACAACTACCGATATATGTAATGTAATTTATTAAAACGCTACATATATAGTTGTGGAGTACTAGAAATGTAACAATTGAACATAATAAGAGGTCACGGAAAGTGGGATTTGCCTCTATATATTTTTGCATCCAAAAGCACGATTGCCTTAATTATCTTATTTAGCTTTTGCTAGCGCGCCATAATTTCTTGACTTGACCACACCACACAGGGATCAATATTTTAGCTGGCAGGTAGTTGGGGATGGTTAAGATTATGGTGGGTCCCATGATTTTACTACAACAAATTAACTAAAAAATAACAATAATTAGATTAAATTGCCAAGTACCCATACCTTGCAAAGTGACATGTAGTCATGATCGGAGCTCCGATCGCCGATCCCGAGATCCGGCACTTCGTCGCCGAACTCCTTCATAACCGCCAACCGCTTCAATTTTCCCACCAAAACCCCGGGCTTCTTCACGAACCCGGTCGCCTTCTTCGTCTTCGGATTCACTTCGATCTCCGTCCCCAGCACCTTGTCCCCACCCAAAAAGTCCTTCACGAACGGCTCCACCATCACCGTCGGATTCGCCGTCACCACCACCTTTCTCTTGCATTTGTCGAACACCTCGAAGCTCTCCGCCCTCACATCCGCCGCGTAAAACCTAACAATCGTTTCATAAATTCAGAATTAACATTTCAAATTAAAATATTTACGTGACACGAGAAAGATAGATATATGAATACATCCATATAATTTTACTGTACCGGGGTAGGACGGCTCGGGAGGCGAGCTCGATGTCGCGGATTTTGAGGCCGGAGAAGGAGATGAAGATGAGGATCTGGATGCCGACGGCTTCGGAGAAGAAGAAGTAGGAGACGATGACGAGCGGGAGGGAAAGGAGGAGGACAAGGCCGCGGAGGAGGCTTCCGGCTTCGATAGCCACCAGCATGAAGTAAGGGAAGGAGCTCCGGGAGATGAGCAGCGTCCCGTCCAGGTCGGCAGCGATCGACTCGTACGACGCCGTTTCGCCCACGTTGCAGGCCGCGATCGACGGGAAGCTCCGCCGTTGCTTCTGCGACGACATGGTCTCTCTCTCTCTTACTAGAAAGCAACGCGTTTGTTCCGTTTGGCTAATTTTTGGAGTGAGGAGTGGCGTGAGTGAGAGGGGGAAACTAAGCGGGGGTTTTAAATGAGGGTGGTGGGAAGGAAATTACCGTGGTACCCCTAGTGGTTCTAGTGAAATTAATTAACGCTGTAAGCATTTTTCATGATTTTGGCTGGAAATATGGTTGGGTTTTGACTTTGGAGGTATTTTTTTTTTAAACGGAATAACTGATAGTAAATCATAATTATCTACTCTTTTCAGATTCGGAGAGACTATAGAAATTTCAAACCCGAAACCTCTCATACTTTGGAGTTGAATATATGCGATAGTGTTAAATGTCTGTTATTTGCTGTATTTTGTTTCCTTCGTAAATTAATTATTGTTTGCTTAATTATGGACAAATATAGAATGACAATTAAATGAACAGGGAAGACAGTCGAATGCATTACCTACGTAATGACGGTTAAATGAAAGAATGAATGGATCGGTAAGCAAATTGAGATGCAAGCAGGTAATCAGTTCAATTTATTAGTAAACAGAGATAATTGGAATGTTCGTCTTTAATTTTTAGTTGTATTGGAGCTTTGGTTTATGAACTACAAGTTTGTGAGTACAAGTCTCTCAATATTAGTCCTATCGAAGCTTTGGTCTATGAACTACTTATATGCGAGTATTCATTCCTAAACTTGTCACAATACGAAGCAATAGTCATTTTTAGTAACTCTGTTTAGGACCTCGGCCAATGTCGTTAAAAAAAAATGCTTGCATGTTAGGGTAGGCATTTTCAGCAAGAAAAAAAAAAAATGATGCAACCATTTATAAAATTAAATTAAATTCCCCACATGCTAGTTATGTGATCGGTTTTATGAGAGTGATGTCGTATGTAAGAGTTGTATCTTGTATGCTACAAAAAAGTTCATTTGCTAGGTCACACAATGCAGTTCAACAACATACAAAATGAGAAAAAATAATAATCCGGACACATTTTAAAAAGTGGTTGATGGCAAACATTGTTGTGCAACAAAGTTTTTCAACATAACAATCAGATGTTTGATGATGTGCAAGTTTGGCGACGGATGTTTCATTCTTCATAAAGAATAATATTTCTCTTCAAGTAAGGGATAGTTTAAGGACTCAAGTTTGGCGATGGATATTTCATTCTTCATGAAGAATAATATTTCTCTTCAAGTAAAGGATAGTTTAAGGACTCGTGTAATGTTAAATCTAAAACAATGAGGAGGATTCGAACTTGAGTGCAAATGAGCAAAAACGTACTGCTCCAGCCAATTGTCATAATCAACAGTTGCTCGATAACAAATTAGGTCAACTAAGTAAATATAATTAAAGTATGAATACCTTAATTCATTCCAACGAAAAATAATAATTTGTGCCATTTCTTTTATTATTTTAATATGATGATATTCTAAATTACTTTTATTTATGAAAAAAAATATTCGACCTAAGCGACAACACTGCCTTTGCAGCTCATCTAGATTTGCCATGTAATTGACTTTGTGGAGAAGAAAATTGTGTCCCAAGAAATTAAATGCCGGAAGCACAGTGGACACAGAATTTCGTTGGAGGTTAGATGATCAGTCCCAGCAAATATTAATAATATCTTCAGGGTGTTGGTTGGAGTAGGTGAAGTCTTGAAGGGGTTAAATGATTATTTCAGCTCTGCTTTTTATTGGTGGCCATGCTTTTCCCATTCGTGTTTGTTCCATCTATCTTATGATCTTATCAATCTGTCTCAACTTCTGTGATTGCGTGCAAGGTTTTAATTTTAGGACTTGTTTGGTTGCCTAGAAAAGTTTTGCTACCTTATATTATGTGTAAGAATGTTGTTAAATTCATTGTTTATGAGGAAAACCATCCATTAGGTTAAGGATAATACTTACATATTCCCATGTGGTGATGCACATATCTTCGTATTCTATATTTGCAAATGATGTATCTTGACTAAATAAAATTAACGATCGAAATCCTTAGGTTAATAGCAACTGCCAAAACATGATATTTTCAGCTATAGGAAAGGAAATGATAAGCTCTTTTGATTTCCTATCTGTTTCTGGTCATTTATGTTCTTGTTTTCTTATGGGCATCCAAAAAGAAAAAAAGTTTCCTTATTATTTTTAAGGGCATCTTTGGGACTACCCTTAAAACTGTAAATGAATCGCTTACGAGTATAAGTACTTCATACAAAAGCAATCTCAAACGAGCCGTTATTCTCTTCTGTCTCGAGTATATCGTTTATCACTCTCACCAGTAATATTTTCCTTTATACTCCTTTTTCTAGAAAAAGAAATATTCTTTTGTCAAATAATAAAAAATGTTAGAATTGCTGATAGAAGTTGATTGTTATTAAATGTGTAATTTATTAGCTGCTATTATTTGGTGGACTTGATTAAGGTAGAAGGTGACAGCGTTGAACCAAACATTGACTCTAAACAATTGTTTTTCTAGTACCTTTAATATCAAACACAGTTAAAACACCTCAACAACTTTTTAATCGAAATCAAAGGTGGAAATGACTTTTATGACCAATGAGAATCGAATACTGATAGTGGGTGTAGGATTAAACGGAACTTGCGATCATTCATGTGTAAGCGACTGATCGTATGATAGCTCGAGGTGCTACAAGTTCAGTAGTTACTAGTTAGTTTGCCTAACAATGTTGACAGAGATTTTTATGATAGGCTGAGCAGCCTTTCACCCGGGATGCATACTATATACACATTCAAGAGTAGCTGGATTCTTTCCGTCCTATCAAGCCATTCACCATGAGAGGCTTACATCGACACCAATGGTGACAGTATCTCAAGCCTGTCATCCGATATCATGTGCTTTAACGGATGGCATCATGTGATTGGTTGGTAAACAGCCACCTTAGCGTCCCCATTGGATGCAATCACACAAGTTCTCCATTGAAGTGTCCTACATTGTCCCTTCTTTACTAGCATACATATTCTTCCATCTTCAACAAGTTTGGATGCACGTCTGATAAATTAAATATGGTATGATTGATAACTAAGGATTTATACGAAATGAAACTGAAGCTCTATAAGAATTGAATTGCCCACACCGCTAATTAATTAGAAGGAGAAGTATCACTAGACCTAGAGTTGTTAGTCGCACCTTAAAACCAAGAGGTTAAACAGTTCAAACGCTGGAAATAACTATTATCGAGTAAGGCCTTACAAAAGAAGTTGCAAGTGAGCAAGAAGGAAAAGCAGTTCATAAAAATACACAAATCGGAAAATGTAACAATCATATAACGTGATTTTCACAAATGTATAGCATTTCATCAACCTTCGATAAATGGTTGCGAAAGAAAACTATTTAAGAATCCTTTCCAATGCACTTGTCTAATACTTGATCAAAAGCTAAAGCCAATCAGTAAGAAATCTCAAGAACTAACGGACCAAAATTATTATCAAAAGATGGCACTTTGAGTTACCAGGAACCTCCTCCTCCTCTGAATCTCTCCTGCGCTTCAGCTACCTTCTCCTCTTGCAATTTCCTTACAAGTTGAATAATTTTGGGATTGTAAAAGCGGTCGCGAACATACTTCTTCTCCTCAGCTTGTATTTCCTTGATAGCGCTGGGATATGGGTTGGGAGGAGGCCTCTTCCCTTGAAGGTGTGCAATTTTCTTCAAGCGGGAATATGCCTTCTTCTTCTCTTTTCTCTCCATCCGGTATTCCATCTAAAAGACAATATGAAACAAACGTGAGAAAAAAATTTAGAAAGCACATACATACAGGGACAGGAAATCCAAATACATACATCGGCTACTGCCATTGCTTCTTCCTCAGAAACCCCTTGCTCTTTCAACTCAAGCACCCGCAAACCAAATATACGGGCTGGTGGAGGATCAAAAGAAGAAATCCTGTTCAAACATAATGGATAAGTTAATACATCTTGCGTTTTCTAATAAGAAGTTAATATGTCTTCCGGATTCATACAACACACTAAATCCTGAATTACTAACCACATCTATTAGCCAAGGATAAACTCATAACAAGACCCAATTGTTATTTGTAACGAGACCACAACTAATATGCTCACACGCTTGATGGTAAACAACACATGAAATGGGATGTAAATGAACACCAAGTATTGGCATTGCAACAGAATACAAAGATAAATCATACTTTATGGCATCTTCATGTTTGGAATCTGGATGCTTCTGGAAAAACTTCTTTATGTAAACATCCTCTGGGAGAGTGATTTTCTGAATTGCATTTGCACGAGGAAATGTTACAGGCGGTGCCCTGAAAAAGCCACAATACATTATGTTTTTAACAACTAAATAAAAAGAAAAGGCATTACAAGAATAAAAGAATAGCGAGAAAGAGAGAGACAAACTTTTCCATGGCTTTGAGCCAAACAGGCTCGGCCTTGGCTAGGCCCTTCACCAGCTTTCTAGTTCTCGTAAGTAAATCTCCTTTCATGAACGACATAGTTGCCTCCCCTTGGGGATCTCCAAGCAATGATTTTTTTTTTCTACCTAGAAATGAGAAAGCAATAGATGAACTCAGCAGTGCAATACGCTGTTTGGTTGTCCATAGAAGATTAAGGATTCTTTGGTGTTTCCATAATGATATTACCTGTTACTAACCACAAAAAGAAGATAAACACAATTTTAATGTAGACTAAGCTATATTATATTTTCCTACAATATGTACATTATAAATCAAAGGGTTTACTAGGATTATCAAATTATGCAAGGCAATTTATGAAAATCTTTCTTTGCCATTACTAGGGAAACAATGCGCTGCTCCTAGTGATAACAAATCAAAAATTGAAAAGAACAAAAAAATATTCGGAATCAACAGAACAACCGAGTATTACAACAAATTAGAGGTTTAAAAATGTACCAAAAGAGTAGAATCTGTAATCCAAAGAACAAAAAAGGGAAGATGAACACCAGGAAATGATTTAAACATAGAACTGAATCATCAAAAGACGAATTCATCTTTTGAACTTGGATGACTTACAAATACTACAGCACAAGAAGAATTCCTTGAAAAACAAGTTCCATGGTCTACTAAACCCTATTTAAACTACCCCTGATATCAACTAACTTTTATGTTGGTACTAACAACAAACTACTTCACAGATATTCCAAAGATACACTAAGCACAAAAACCAGTTTAATCCATCATTAGTCAAAAACCCATCTAATTGATGTCAAATTAATCAAAATCCACCAAATCCCATATCCAGAATCCTAACAACAACTAAAATTTCAAATTTTTTAGTGAATTCGAGAGGAACAGGAACTACCCACTTCACCGAATTGTCTACCAAGATACCCAGATTGAAAAGAAAACAGTTATATTACTCGAAAGAAAATCAAAATTGGAGCTCTATACTATATGGGTTCTATTTGCTTAACATAGAATTGCATCGTAGCACAGGAGCAATTAACACAACAAAGCAGAAAGAGAGGTTGATTTGTGAGAATTAGATACGCATCGGGAAGATTGAAACCAAATGAACAAAAATACATAAATTGAATTTACTGCTGGAAAAATACCGAGAGATTGAAAAGTCTGCAATTGCAGTGGAGGGTGAGTGGCGGTGTTACCTGGCAGTGGTGGCGTGAAGGCTGAAGACGGGCTGAGAGATGATGGAGAAATGTCGAGGTAGAACCGTACAAGTGGGAGAAGGGTGATGGGAGAGTTTGGGTTATTGGAGTATGGGCTTTTGGGCGGGGTGGAATTGAAACTTTTGTTTTGGGCGTCTTGCCACCCAACTTCTCTTTTGGTTTATTTTATTTTATTTTATTTTTTTATTAAAAAAAAAAGAAATTTATAGCGTCGTCACAGAAGTCCATCTTTTTGGGGTTCATAAAAACTTATAGAGGCAGTTGAGGCTTTGAGCCTTTCCTGATCACCATCATGTGATTTTTTAGCACTAGGAATCAATTACAGCATATGCCGTGTTATATACGGGTCTGAAATTCATCATCAATCATTGAGCTACTTACATATAAGATAGCATACAAAAGATATCCAAAGGAAAATGATCCTCGCCGGATCCTTTTCCTGGGGATCCTGTAATCGTGGTCATTCATCATACATCGTACGGTTAGTTTTCGTTAGATACTATTTATATTTAATTTTATATTTTAAATTTCAAATGATTTTTTACCACATGATGCACGATGAACGGCCATAGTCTGGCAAGGATCCTTTTCCATATCCAAAACCCAAAATGTGACAATCAAGAATAAAAGTTGTGTCTTTTAAAAAGACATGATGGTTGAAAAAACTATCATAGGGCAAAACAAAACAAATTACAAACAAACGGGCACATTGCCACTTAGTACTACGGTCTAATAGTATTCTTCATCACTGGTAAGTGAAAGATCTTAGGTTTGATTGTTGCCAAAGGTGAAATTGACCCAATTATTATGACTAGATTATTGTGAGATTTAGTCCACTCTCCTACCTCTTGGTATTGATAATATCGAATGTATTAAAAAAAAAAAAAAATATATATATATATATATATATATAAACATTAGGGAAATGACTTCACAATTTTTTTTTAGCTTATGATACATCTTTCTTTATTTTTGGCCATTAAATTAAATAAATTAAACAGAAATAATGATCAGAATTAAATATGAATATGTGAGAAATTAAAAAAGATGGGTGTTTTTTTTTTCCCAGAAAAGATGTGTGTTTATCATTCCTAAAAAATTATTAAGTACGTCATACGCTCCAAATATGTCAAAATCACTTTCATTGCAAAACTCGGTGAGTCAGCACCAAATGTTTGTATGCTACCTAGTCATTGCGAGTAGGATCTCTCATGTGGGCTAGAACCGGACTCAATCTTTTCATACATCTAATTACCTTAATATCTAGCTTAGTTGTAACTTTCATTACAAACTCAATTTGAGTACAATCAATAGTACTACTCTAATTAGAGGGAAGATTTAAATCCGAGAACGCAGTCATGTGAAGATAAAAGCTCTCACCACCAGGACTAGCCACCACTTAGTGCAAACTCAATCCGAATTACCCAAAATTTTGGAAGTGCAACTCACTCTACACTATTAACCCCTCTTCATTTGTTCTCACTTGGAATTTGGACTGCTGATTGTCATCCTGTCAAGAACATCTTGTTGTCGAGTGTCGACTAACCGTCGTAAACGAAAGAAATTGAGTAAAGTGACCTTTTTAGCATACCAACATCTTGTATTATTATTTACTTGATCATCAAGCATGCTAATTTTGTTGATTAAACAATTTAAAGGGGGGTTTGCAGCTAAAGATTTCCAATGCAATAACGAGGATTAACATAATTACAAAGTATACATTAATTAAATAAAGCTTTCCATTAAGATAACAGGATAAATAACTTATATGCACATTAGCACCCCAAATACTCCACTCTCGACATTAAAACACTATGAACGAAATACACACAATCGCAGCATTTAGACAGAATCAGGCTCGATGGAGAGACACCGAAGGGGATTAATATGTCAATCTCTGGTCTTGAATGGGATGGCTCTGATGACTATCTGATGGTAGAGTGCAGCAAGTGCAGCTCCAATGAATGGTCCAACCCAGAAGATCCACTACAAACACACAACAAAATCATAGAAGATGTAAGACATGTATTCTCGTCTACGAATTTAGATCGATGCAACTTAATGACGTAACAATTTAATTTTACTCACATGATCATCCCATGCATGGTCCTTGTTGTACTTGTAGATGATGGCAGCCCCAAGGCTCCTAGCAGGGTTTATGCCGGTTCCAGTGATGGGGATGGTTGCCAAATGAACCAGAAACACTGCAAACCCAATGGGGAGTGGAGCCTGATAAGTGAATTTTATATTATATATTTAACCATATTCTTGGTATATTTTGGTTCATATTTTGGAAGAATTTTGATACTTTGAATTGTATTTTCAATATAAGACTCTCAACTTCCTCTGGAGCAAAACGTGGTCAAATGGATGAATTTTGGAGTAATTCCAGTTGGAATACGTTCGTGATTCAATTAGCTTGATTGTATCAAAATTTGGGATTTTTTCCACCACACGGTTATTTTCTGGCGATAAAATAAAGGAGCGATGCGCGGTGCTGGAAAATGATGTTTCTGGGCTTAAATTGCGTTTTTGGAGCCCAAGATGACCTCGGATGGTTTCGTGGCCTTTTGGAGATGTGTTCGGAACGTCCTGATTTTTAAAACAACCTATCTTGGGCCGGATTTGGAGGAGATCTGAGGCTAAAACGTGGTTGGACAAGTACTTGGCAGATTCTCCTAGTTTAATTAGGGTTTTATTTTCTAAGATATTTTATTATTTTTCTTAGTTTCCTAGTTGGAATAAGAAACCTATGTCTTAGGGTTTGTGAGTGCTGAGCAATATATTGCTTTGGCCGTCTACAATTTTTCTCTACGCTCATTATTATTCAATTTCAGAGACATAGAACGTGGCTAGGGTTCTTGGAGATTTTCTACTTTAATGTGCTTTCATTCCTTTTATTTTTAATAATATTTTCTATGATTTCAATTATGAACATGCATAACTAATTCCTTTTGCTAGGGCGAAACCTTGAGCCTTAGCATGAATATGTAATTTTTATTTAATTGCTTATGATTGATTGCATGCACACTTTGAATTATTGATCACTGTTTTTAAACTATCTAATTATCTTGATGACTGGCCACCATTAGGATGGGGAAATTTGGAAAAATAATCAAAATTTGAACCCCATATAGAACTATAGCCACTTTTTTAAATTTATGATAATTATAACAAAAAATTGATATGTAAATACTAATATACCCTTAAAACAGAAATTGAGAGATAAGGAGAGAGTTTGAAAACAAATCCAAAAAACCCAAATCAAATATGAGATTGTCCTAATGTCTTACCGAGTTCTTTTTTTGGGTTCCAAAGAAAAAAATAGACCGTGTGAACAAAAGGATTTTCTTGGTTTGATTTGTGTGTGATAAGAAAAATTTATTTATTGTCGTTCAAAAATGGTCTTTTGTTGAATCCAGTCCCGAAGAGCATGGTCTGGGAAGCCATGAACACTCATGGCTAAGATCACTTGGAGAACATGTCAATATATATATATTTATTGCCCCACACCACACACATTGATTCGTTTACATTTAGCAATTTTTGTTTTTTACAAGTTTGGGGCATCTAGCAAGCATGAAAAAGAAGATCATTACCTATTAACTGCTTTTTGTCCATTGCAAATTTTGTATCAGTTTTCATTTGGCATTTCTCTTCTGCATTATTTGATTTCGATATGTTTTATGTCTCTGAACTTGTAGTAGAAGGGGATTTAATTGTCCATTTTTTGAGTTTTTATTTTGACTACAGGATAGAGGTTCAGGGCCGAAGGGGTAGAGGAAGACCTAGGAAAACTTTGGAAGAGACCCTAAGAAAAGACTTAGAGTACTTGGATCTAACGGAGAATATGATACAAAACCACGCGCAATGGCGTTCTAGGATTCATATAGCCGACCCCACTTAGTGGGAAAAGGCTTTGTTGTTGTTGTTGACAAAATTATGAAGGTGTATCAAAGGGTATATTAGTACTTTTATATCAATTTTGGGTTATAATTATCATAAATCTAAAATGGTGGCTATAATTCTATATGGGATCCAAAATTTGGTTACTTTTCCAAATTTCCCATTAGGATGTTTAGACAAGTAATTGGATGCAATTCGGTCGGAATATCAACGGAGGATTGAGTATTGCTTCTTGTGATTGATAATTGTAATTTCATCTAAGGCGAATATCACGTTCTTAGGGGTTGCATGGTTCTTCAAAAGGTTTTCATAAAACTTAATGAGTCTTGCATGTTCATATTTGATCTGAATATCACAGACGAATTGCATGTTAGATATACGTTCTTGCTTGAATATCACAAGGAGAATATACATTAGGAAAACCTAACCTTCGGAGTGGCATGTGTAAATCATAAGTAATTGGTAAAAATACATAGAATTGCTAGGTGATGGTGGAACCCTAGTGCCTTTATAAATTGGTATTTAAAACTCTTTTTTTCGATTATTTTAGTTTTTGTTTAAAATTCGTTTTTTAATATTACCCACTCTGAAACTCTCTTTTCTCAAGTTTTAATTCTAAGTATTTAATTAGGAATTGTTTCTACATAAATTATCCAAATAGTAGTACTCTATGATTATCTTTAAGAATTTCATTAAGATCCAAAAATCACAGCGAGAAGATTGACTAATCAGAATGGTAAGTTTGGCACGAGGGAAAAGTTGGTAACCATGGCATTACAACGATCATACAAGTAGACATGCATATTTATGGCATTTACAGAAAATCCTTAAGAGAACAATGTGTAAACAAGTACTCAATCAAAGGTGAGATATACTTACAGGGACATGAGAGTCTCTGGCGTTTCTCTTGGCATCAGTGGCAGAGAAAACAGTGTACACAAGAACAAAAGTGCCAACAATCTCAGCACCAAGGCCGTCACCCCTAGTGTAGCCATGGTTCACCAACAATCTCAGCACCAAGGCCGTCATCCTTAGTGTAGCCATGGTTCACCACATTAGCTCCGCCACCGAGCAACTCATACTGGTTCTTTTGGAACCACTTCACCACCCCCGGCACCAGCAATTGCCCCAAGGCTTTGCATCACAATGTAGAACACAGCTCTAGTCAGGGAGAGCTTCCTTGCTAGGAAGAGACCAAATGTCACAGCTGGGTTTA